GTTAAAAACAAGACAGCTGGCTGATTTCTTCTTCTGAAGGTTCATTTTGACTCGTGACAGTGTTTAGGCATATTGTTGTTTACCAAGTATTGTTAAAATCCCAGTGAAACTAGGCAGTACAGCCTGAAAATCACAAATTTTGATTTGGTAGATCAGTGACCTCCAACATGCCTCTAAAAACCCAAAGCAGATTATGATCTCCTATCCATCGATGCATTTACCAGTTCGTAGTTCATTACCAAACTACAAACCTTGTCTTCATTTTATTTTACAAATTTTTCTCAACCCCCTGTCCAAAAAAGTAAAATATCAACACATAAAAAAGTTTGGGAAGTACATTATAAAAATACTTGGAATGCTACATGGAATGGACTCAAAACAACACTCAGTGAGTCTCTTTAGTTCTGATAGAAATGTCTTAACTACTGAACTGGATACCATGAAATTTCTAGATTTGTTTTTCCCCAACCTGAAATCTTCAGCGTTCAGACAGAACAGTGGAGCCGCTTATTTGCTTTTGCAGGAGTGGCTGTTGTGAAGAAGTACACCACGAGTACTCAGAGTAACCGAATCAGAAGCTAACATCATTCTTTTTTAATTCTTGGTTTTAAAAAAGGTGATTAATGTTATAAAATATTTCTTTTATTTTGAAATGCATGGTTAAGAAATTTTTTTAACTATGTGGAGAAATGTCTTTGTTTGTTGTACATGGTTGCAACATATTTGGCCTCGTCGTGATCTCCAACCATTGTTTTCCCAGAGTGAGTGTAGGATGATACATAAAACAAAGATAAGGAGCACAGAAAATATGCAGATGTTAGGATTTACTTTAGAGGAAAAAAAAATCCTCAGATCAGCGTTTTAAAGGATTCATTTTAATGGAAATAACCGGCCATTTCTCCCACATAAATCTATCCATCAAAGAGAAAGCAGTACTTGCATTGTATCATCAAACAGCCTCCCGTTAAATCCTCTTTATTTTTCTGTTAACTTCTGTTATGCGTGTTTCCTCAAATATCTCTTAACTTTACACCCCGGGCTGATACTGAGCACTATCTACAGACAGCTTCCGTGTTTTGCAACACCCACGCAGCGTTAGTAACCCACTAAGAGTCGGTTTGTGAATGTGCCCAAGGCTATCCAAATATCATCATTGCTAATCTGTATTCATACCTCAGCTCTCTGACATTTATAACCAGGTGCTTGTACTTGATTAGAAACATCTTCATCCATGTACAGGTTGAAAACACTTTGCTTATCTTTAGCATGAGCACTTCAAAACAACATCAGGGTGTTGGAGATTGCACAGAAGAGGTCATGGGAGACATTAAAGCATCCTCAGGAATGTTTGCACATGCCTCGGTAACACCTCTCTGAGAGCAGCAGCGATTAAATCAACATTGCATTTGGGCCACTCGGTAAAGAACCCTTTATAAAGTAATCCTTTAAGCTGTTTACAATATGTGCTGCAGATTGTAGAGTTTATCGAATATCACTAAGTCACTGCGGGTACCATAATATAAGATTACACTTAAACACCTGTAATCTGGCTTCACTTAAAGCAGTCCACCAAAGTTGAGTTGCTTGTCCTTTGGGCTGTGATTACAGAGGAAGGCACTCAGACACTCCACAACAAACCCAGCAGATAGATATCAGTGGGAACATGTGGATGTGTGAGAGCTCCCAGCAGGAGTGTTTCTAGCTCTGAAACTGCTCCGACAACAGGTTTCACATGAGTGTGTGCAAACATTTGCCTCTGTGCATGTGCTGCTACCTCCGAGTGAGAGCACCAGCAATAACCCTCAGATCATGTGATGAGCGACAGCTGCCGAAGAGCACTGATGTCCTGTTTTGCTCAAGTGTTGTTGACAGTGTGACTTCTGTTCGTGTGATGGAACAACATCAAAAAGGTGCAAACTGAGGCAGAAGGTGCGCCCTGAAGCTTTTAATGAGGGGAAACATTGATTCAGCCTTTTATTTCATTAAAATATATTTTATTGTTTTAATTAAATAAAAAAAAATGCAATCTGTCCTCAGAATCCCTGGGAATAGTTACATATTCTGTATATGAAAGATGGATGTAGATGCTGTGATGTCACTCATTGCATTCTGGATTCTGCATTTTGTAGCTTCAGAATTTGTGTTTTAGAAGCTTTTTTTCTTTTGTTTTTTGAGACAGAAATGACCCTATGTGGATGAGAAGGAAAAGTCTTGGTGAACTGTAAATGTCAGAGTCCTTCTAGAAGCAGTTATCACCTGTTGGAAACTATCTTGAAACTCCCCAGGACATTTATTTGATCAGTTATTAACTTTCGTTTGAATACTCTGAGGTCTATCAATATTAGTAACGCACCATAGTACCATAGTAACACAGATACCTCTAAGCAGTACAAAAATTTAAACCAATACCCAGAAGTTAGATGTTAAGAGGTCCAGTTCAGTGACAGGTGCTTACTACAGGTGCTGATGAAAGTAACCATGATCATAATTATAAACCTGGGTTTCATTAAAAAATATAAATTAAAAAAAGAAAGCACACACACAACTTGAACCAAGTGTTTTCTGCTCTAAATTTGAACATTTTGACATGGAAGTCTATGGAGATCGACTCTTTTGGAGGTGGCCTCTAGTGGGCATTCGAGTAACTGCAGTTTTTGGCTGCTGCATACTCCATCAGGAGGAGGGACATGCAAGGCAACAGAAGGTCCACAAATAAATATAAGGAAAAAGTCTTAAGAACCATGAAAGAAGTAAGACTCTGTAAACGATGTGTCTTCATAATTTGTATTGGTTAGAAGATGATCAGTCAAACTATCTACCTGTCGCTGTTTGCTGATGTGATAATATGGGATTCAATACTCATCATAGCTATATATTCTTGACACAGCATTAATTTAAAGTAAATATATAACTTGTCATGAACAGTGTTAGGTTCGTTTGACAGAGAAAACAAAGTAGAGCAAAAGGCTGTAACACAGAACAGACAGATGATGCATCTGTGTCACATGTCATGTTTAATCGACATCGCTTTCACAGCTCTGCAGTATGAATTCTTCATTTTGTTAGATGTTTGTTGCCTCCTCTAATCTATCTTCTAATAACCTCCTCTTCTCCACTTAGAGTAGACAAAGTGAGGAATTTGTCTGCATTTACCTCCTTTTTCTTGTTTCTTTCTTCCCGCGATTATGATTGTGCTCTTCACCCTTATTAGTTTCACTTGTCTTCAGTTTAATTCTTTCTGTGTTTTTACATTCCTGCTTCTCTGTTTTAGCCAGATTGTTGCTTTTTGTTTGGACTGTTTTATTTTCATATTGGAAATATTATCCCCGCCTTTTCTTCCACAGTACATGCCATTACAGTGGCTCTATTATACTTTTCCTTATTTTATCTAAAATACGGAAACACTGCAAAGACACACCAGACAGTTTTCACAAAACTGTGGGAAGTGAAAAATCATCATCAAAGGAGAGACTGCTTGCCATCAAAGTAAAAGTTGCATCCTACATTGAAATCAGCACGTTTCCAAACACGCAAATTGTACTTTGAAGGTGAATGTGTCCATTTTCCATTCTGGTGGTTGTCTCAGAGTTTAGAAAAAAACTGGACATCTTTAGATTTGTGAAGATGTTTTGGGTCCCGTTCAAGAAGCTTCCTCGGTTCTACAGACAAGAAGTTGAAAGTATTTAACCCCTAGTGGGGGTTAACCCCTTTGGAGGTGGTTTTGAAGGTTGTTGGCTCACTATTGATCATATGGTAATATAATCAATAGTGGCCCACAGTATGAAAAAAGCTATGGGTCATTACTATCACTGTGGGTTAAGAGTGAAACCAATATGAAATCTTGCCCTATACCCACATGTGACCTAACCTGAGGTGACGTGTGACTCGGGGGAAGGGAAGGCATCTAGAGTCTGCATTGTGGCTGATAGTTTGTTCCATAAGACACCACTTCTGTTTAATGATGTTCTTCAAAATGGACAACTAACTAACTCACCAGTTTATGGAGAAATATAGATATTTCACTAGCAACCAGTGGTCGCCAGGGAGTCATCCTAACCTTAACTGAGTATCTAGGCCTCTGAGACTGAAGCCTAAAATGTTAAAAGATCAACTTTTATATTGTGACTTTAAGGTAGAAAAGTTGCCTTAAAAAATTCAAGACCGGTCTCTATGAGTTTCAAGCCACAAGGGTTAAAATGAGTACCCACTATCAATGCCAAAGAGGCAGCACGTTTGATGACACCCAGGTATTTGATTTTCTCAGGGTTCAGGAATGGCGGGTAAAGAATTGGATATGAATTGGTTTGGAGAGGCTTCAAAATGGAAGCAAGTCTTAGTTACAGTAGTGCCTTTTTTTTCCTTGTGTGTCTCAAAGAAATACTGTTTAATTCATGAAGAGAATATTTTTGGTAAATTTCATGTAATTTTTTGCTCATTTCTGCTCCTCTTTATGACTGAGGTATTATTTTGTCCTTAACTTTTCCTTCTCAGAGGAAATAATAATGTCTCCTGTTGTCTGCAAGTGATCCTCTGACGAAGGTCGCTGCAGCTGAAATGCCAGAAGTTTGTGATTTTAAATTTAAATTAAGACCTGAACCGGTCACTCATTCACTGGAGAGAAATGCCTTTTCTGAAAAACAACCCAAGTTTCCCCACCCAAAGGACATTTCTCTACATTTACTCGTTTTTGTTACATCTCAGCTGATCTCTCTCTCGGACTGCTTCTCTCTCATACAGATATATGTAGAGTTATAACTTGAAAAATCCATATATCTATGTTGTGTGGATGAAAGGCTCCTTTGGCACATAGTTAAAATGACTCATGAGTTTAATTTTAACCCGAAATGGGAACCGCACCGATGCCAGCAGTCATTCTGTCACAGCGATCGCCTCCTGTTATTTAAGTGGTGGAATCTCGCTGAGAGTTTATTAATGCAGGAAAACATTCAGCATGTGTTGAAAAGCCGTAATGTGTTGTTGTTGTCATGATTGGTTTACAGACTTGTTGGCTGTGCCCAAACACCCCTACGCCGCCATGGAGAACTGGGGCCTGAGTGTCTTCGTGGAGCAGAAGATCCTGTTGGACGCAGACGTGTCGTCCTCATCCTATCAGATGGAACTCACCATGGTGGTGGTCCACGAGATTTGTCACCAGGTAGGCAACGTACCTGATGGCTCAGACATTATACTACCATTCATACTGCGAAGGATTGTGAATATACTATAGAATATATACTATAATGTCATTTAAGAAAGGTATTATTCAGACTGTAAAATTTCATATGATTGGAGATCATTGATTGTAACTGATTTCTTAACACAGTGTTCATAAATACTTACTAACTAGGATTATGAGTATTGGTTACACAATATAATATTTTGCACAAAATAATCTTTTCAGAAATGTTTACTCTGTCTAACCACATTTTTGTACAAATGGTGCAGAAACAATACATCTGTAAGCCCCACATTTTCCTACTCTTTAGACTACATAATCTATGATAACTGCATAATTTCACCTGCTCATTGTCCTAAAGATCCATCCATCCATCCATCTTCATCCGCTTTGTCCGGGGCCGGGTCGCGGGGGCAGCAGCCTAAGCTAAAGATGTTTCCTAAAAATGTTTGATGTCCTCACCACCTGTTTAATAGCTACTCCTTGAAAAAAAAGATTATTTTCATAAATTTAAACCTTTTTATCTCACTGAAGTGAATTTAGATCAACTAGAAATGATGGATGAGAGCAGATTATTTGGATGCAGAGTATAAGAGAGAGAATATATAAATCCTTTTTAAAATGTATGTATTATTGAGTCTGACAGGAGGCATTTGCTAAAGAGATTGTGATAGCTGGGATCATGTAATTCTGGTTTTAGAAGAATAAGGTTCCCCTGACTATATTAGTCATAAAACTTTACTAAAGTTGAATGAATGCAATAAAAAATCATTTGTATATTTGCAATTGAAATATGGAGGGTTTCACGCTGGCTGACAGAGCCAAGTTAAGGACATGCCCACTCGAATTAAAGATGTTTCATACTCAATATGTGGGCTTCACACTTTTCGCCGAAGATGTAATTAATGCAACCTCATGTGAAAATGGAGCACAAGCACACAAAATGATGGGTTTGATGAAAAAAACAAAACAAAAAATCCCCCAAAACCAAAAAGAAAACAGCAGGTGGTGACAATTTTGTTATAAACTGAGTTCATTCATTCCTTGAACTGTTGGCAGACACAGAACAGAATTTTCTTTCATTTAAATGCATCCACTGTGAGCATGTCTGTTCATTAGTGTCTCATTCTGCTATAATGTGGTATTTTGTCACATAAGCCATAGATTCAGGCTGACAGAAGCTGACTATGCTGGATTGCTTGTCTTAGTGAAATAAAATTGAACCACTAGACTCAAACTGGTGGCTCGGGTTAACCTGTTAGCACAGAATTATGTAAATCTGATGTGCAAAAGACACTCACAGCTGTTGGAAGTTAAAATAAGTGCAGACTGGTCAGTAATTGGTAGCTTACTTCTGGAAAAACAACATTAAATGTCACCACACCTGTTGAGGACCAGGTGTGTCTGATATGCAAGAAAGGACACAAATAACACTGAAATACTAATAAAACAAATGATTTGAGTATATCTAAGAATTGTCATCACCTGCTGTTCATTTATTATGGTATGAATTATATGTATTGTGCAAATAATTCTTAAAACGTCATTCTTCATTAGACTCGGTTTGTCTTGTTTTGTTGCTTATGAGGATTGCAACCATATATCTCAATTAAGTACACAAAACACTGTAGGTGGACTGATGGTGAAGAGATGAGAAGAAAATATGATTTTTTTTTCTCTTCCCATCTGTTGAGGGAGCTTGTCAATATTCTTACATGAAAAGCCTCATGCAGGGAACAATAACAGATAAGCCATTAAGTCAGAATGGCATGACATGACATCAGCATGAAACAAAGAGTTGGGGTGAAGGTGGGTTGCAAAGTGGCTTACAGATAATTCGACTCAGGAATTATATAGAGATCTTGCTTAAACTGGCTGTTTTCCTTGTTTTCCAGCCCTGAGCATGACGCTACCACCACCATGCTTGCCAGTTGGTGTTCATAGGTTTAAAAGCCTCACCTTTACTCCTCCAAACACAACTTGAAACTGTAGCCATTTGGCTTGTCTAAGTAGGCATTCTAGTTGAGCCTGAAAGGGTGAACTTTGAAGCAGGGGCTTCTTTCTTGGTCAGCAAGAAATGTTTGGATTATGCTTTAATTTTAAAAAATGTATCTAATTTGGTCATCAAAACTAATATCTTGTTTGCATTTTGTAAAATTTCTTTATTAATAAATGAAAGTGTATTTAGAAAATTAGATTTTTGTGAATTTTGGACATTTTATGTCTTGTAGTCTGAAAAGAAGAACTAAAAGCTCTAAAAACAATGTCAATCAATTGTGTTTAACATATAAATGCAATATTTACCATTTTTCGTTCGACTTCATGAACATCCAGGTGCATGTTAAAAATGTCTTGTGACTTTCAAAGAACTCTGCATTCTTTGCAAAAGAAAACAGGCTGTTTGTGGGTATCAGACTTGTCATAGTTTATGTGTCTGTGTATTTCTGAAAGCTGCTCAGGATTTAGCTCAGAGGTCTTGTACATTTCTCACCACTCATGCAGGCAGGGCGGCACACCAGCATGAGGGTTTAAATAATGTTCATAAGATACAAATGTTCCTTCAGAGAAAGTGACCCACCTACAGAGGCTAAATTTGTTTATATGTTATCGTGCTGAGACTGAAACAAACCCCTGTGGCTCAGCCCGAACCCATGAGCTGCTGCGATATCACTAGTGGTCTTTTATATTCAACTGCATCAGTCTGACATGAAAAAGGGAAATAAAATTAATAGTGAACATTGACATGAAACACAAGTTAAAAATTAAAAAATAAATTTTCCTCTAACAAATGCAAATGGTCTGGTTATGAACACACCAAATGTGACAGAAGTCAAAATGACTTCAACGGCTACACCAATGAGCTCTGTGTTTGTGTGTGCGTGTTACAAATTTCCCCGGGCAACAACAAAAGCAGAGAGGATGATCCTGTTTTTACAGTATGACATCAAATACGTGACGAGCAGACAAACACGATGAAGCAGAAGGAAATTTAAAGGTTTTAGTCAGAAAAGAGAAAGAGGGAGGGAGTGTGACCAGGCGAACAAGCTTAAACAGCGAAGACAGACGTAGTATGAGACGGAGAGAGAGAGAAAAAAAGTAGAGCGTAGGAGACGGAGAAACAAAGAGGCGCAGAAACAAAGTGATGGAGAGAAAGAATGGAAACGACATCCGTTAAAGAAGAATAAAGGATACGAAAAGATGAACAAAGACAGAAAGAGAACAGAGCTCTGTAAAAAATACCCAAAACATTCAGCCTTATTCTCATTTACCAGTGAGCTTTATACAGACCTACAACATTTGCTTTTTATACACTCAGCACCCAGGAAGTGTTCTTTTCAAAATCTCCAGTTTAAACTAGGAACATATTCAACATTTATATTAATCCGGGTAACCATATAAAGCTAGATGTAGACTTAAAGAATTAGCATTAGCAGACACTGATGAGATTTCACCTGTAAGATAATGACAGCAAAAACTAAAAATTACGCACAGTACAGTGTTGCAGAGTTTTATGTACATTGCAGAGGTGTTTCTTCAAAAGAGAAGAGTGAAAAAATATATGCAAGTGTTTTATGTTTTGTCTATCTATCCATCAATAATATGCTTATGTGATTCAGGGTGGCGGGGTGTGGGCGCCGGAGCTTATCCCAGCTGCTGAAGGGCAAAAGGTGGTGTGCACCAGGTCACCAGTCTATCACACTATGGGCAACTTTGTGTTACCGGTTTATAGCAGTGGTCATCTTGAGGCTGTTATGCATTGCAAAGATCCTCCAACATTACTGAAAGAAAACCAACAATCAAACATTGTTATTCAGTCATAAGAATCAGAATTATGGAATAGGGACAACTCATTATCAGTCAGAATTTTAGGCCAATTTAAGAGGCGTCAGCTATACTTTTTTTGTGTAGTATTCCAGCAAATGAAGTCACATGAACTTAACATAGTATATCCAATGAATGAGCTCTTCTCTACATTAAAGTAGTTCAACTTCAACAGATTGAGTTTATGAACCTGAAATGATAAAAGTATTAAAACTTAACTATGATTAGCCAGGGGTTGGCTTCATCAGGTGGGGACCTCCAGCCTCCAGGGTCTTGTTTATGAATGACTGAAGAAGGGACCATGAGATTGGAGCATCTTTTATGACAGAGCATAGGGTAAAGCGAAGTTGGTGACTTAGTCTACAATCTCCTTTACTACCCTCACCTATGGTCACAAGCTCTGTGTAGTGACCAAAACAATAAGATTCTAGATATACGTTTCCTTCAAAGGGTGGCTGGGCTCTCTGGGGTGAGGAGTTCAGTCATTTGGAAGAGTCTCCGAGTAAAGCCACCTCTTTCCAAAGGAGGCAGTTCAGGTGGTCTGGGCGTCTGACTAGGATACCTCACAGATGCCTCTGATTGTGGTGTTTTGGGCATGTCTTACCAGAAGGAGGCCCCAGGACAGACCCAGGATTCACTGACAATATTATAACTCTCAGCTGGTTTGGGAATGACTCTGTGTTCCCCTGGATGAGGTGGAAGAGGCGGCTGGGGTGAGGGAAGCCTGGGATTCTCAGCTTCCCCTTCTGGTTTTGTGTGCAGCACCAGCTGTGGGACTTCAGTGTGTGTGTCTCCTAGGTCCCAGCACACTACAGAATAACAGAAGTTCATTAGTAAATGCAAAGATGGTGTGCCAATCACCTGGCACTGCTAGAAGTAAAAAAAAAAAAAATAGTCCCATGATTCTTTGTGTTTGTAATTTCAGAACTGTTCCTTACTTAAACATGCCACATGGAAATGATGAATTCAAACAAGGATGAACCGCTATAGTGTAAACAACTCAATATAAGTACACCAAAACAATGTAACACAGTTAAATGAAATAACATTGCTGTATTTACAGTGCGAGGCTGAGTATGAATTTCACTGAGGAGCAGAGAACAGCTTGTTATCTTCCAATGATCACAATAAAAAAAAATTGGAGGCTTCTAATCCTT